CAATTAGAGTACAGATTCAAGGGTACACATTCGTAGCAAGCTGCCTTGTTCTACGTGAATGCTCCCGTGACGTCATTCTGGGAGTTGATTTTCTACAGGAAAATGGAGCTATCATTGATCTGCAAGAGCGCCGCGTCACGTTCTCAGCCCAGCGAGCAATCAACGTGCAGGATGACGGAATGCGTGTCGACGTACTCCGTATTTCTGAACAGAGCGTGACGCTTCCTCCCCGAGCCAGTGTTCTAGTCGACGTAACATGCTGTGGTTTGAGCGATGGCGATGTGGTGGCCGAGACAAATTTAGAACACCTCCTGCAGCAAGGCATATGTGTAGCGAGAAGTGTAATTCACGTTCGCGACGGCCGATCTGAATTGCCCGTTACCAACTTTAGCAACGAGCATCGACACCTTTTCCGTGGCACTTCGATAGCGTTTGCCCACGAAGTAGCAACGTAACCAACTGTCCCACGTCAGAATAGTGGATAACGCAGACACATCAATGAGCAACATTGACATCAATCCTGATCTGTCCACCGATAACCAGACTGCGCTGCGAGCGCTCTTGTTCGAGTACAGGTCTTGCTTCGCAAGTTGCTCAAAGATCCGCCAGACGTCCATCACTCAGCACAGGATCATCACGTACGAGGACGCACGCCCAATACACCAGCACCCCTAACGCGTGTCGGCTAAAGAACGTGAAGCGATACGTACGCAAGTTCGCGAGATGCTTGACGATGGCGTTATCGAACCATCCAACAGCCCGTGGTCATCTCCAGTCGTGCTTGTTAAAAAGAAGGACGGATCGCTACGCTTCTGCGTCGATTACCGAAAGCTTAACAACGTGACCAAAAAGGATGTGTACCCGCTACCGCGTATCGACGATTCGCTGGATTCGTCGTGCCCATTATTTCACTTCTCTCGACCTCAAAAGCGGGTACTGGCAAATCGAGGTAGATCAGCGAGACCGCGAAAAGACGGCCTTCGTGACTCCAGACGGCCTATACCAATTTCGAGTACTCCCTTTCGGCTTGTGTTCAGCGCCGGCAACTTTCCAGCGAATGATGGACACTGTCCTCACAGGGCTCAAGTGGCAGACTTGTCTTGTCTACCTTGATGATGTGGTGGTCTTCTCTGCCACGTTCGAGCAGCACCTACAGCGCCTGCGCAGCGTGCTGGAGGCTATCCGATCGGCGGACCTCACTCTAAAGCCACAGAAGTGCCACTTCGGCTATGAAGAACTGAAATTTCTTGGACATGTAGTTAGCGCTGAAGGAGTCCGGCCCGATCCAGACAAGCTTGCCGCTGTTGCCGAATTACCAGCTCCTGTTGATAAGAAAGCCGTCCAGCGCTTCCTTGGTTTGTGCGCCTACTATCGCTGGTTCATTCATGGCTTTTCACAGATAGCAGAACCTCTGACTCGTCTCACAAGGGACGACACGCCGTTTGTCTGGGAAAACGAGCAACAAGCAGCTTTTGATGAACTGCGACAGCGCATGCAATCAGCACCCGTTCTCGCTCATTTCGACGATGATGCTGACACGGAGGTCCATACTGGCGCTAGTAACGTTGGGCTTGGTGCAGTGCTCGTTCAGCGTTAAGACGACATCGAAAGGGTGATAGCCTACGCCAGCCGCTCTCTATCCCGTGCCGAGGCGAATTATTCCACTACGGAGAAAGAGTGCCTCGCAGTCGTGTGGGCAATCACCAAGTTTCGCCCGTACCTTTATGGTCGTCCCTTCAAGGTAGTGACGGACCACCATGCCCTCTGCTGGTTGGCAAGCCTGCGCGACCCTTCAGGACGGCTAGCACGGTGGAGCTTGCGGCTGCAGGAATTCGACGTCACCATCGTCCATAAGTCCGGCCGTAAGCATGAAGACGCTGACACACTGTCACGCGCACCCCTTCATGTCGTCAGTCAGGAAGCAGAGGAAGACGAAGGCTTCCTGGGCGCCATTAGCTCATCAGACTTGAGTAAACTGCAGCGGGATGACGCAGAGATTCGTCCGATCATCGATCATTTAGAGGGCCAGGGCACAATAATACCACGTCATTTATCCCGCTCGTTGCCGTCGTTCTGCCTTCGAGAGGGTGTGCTGTACAAGAAGAACGCTCGTTCGAACAACCGTACCTACCTCCTGGTGGTTCCTCGAGACATGCGAGACGACGTCCTTTTCGCTTGCCATGACGAACCCACATCCGGTCATCTGGGCTACTCACGGACACTTGCCAGAGTGAGCGAGAGGTACTATTGGCCAGGACTTTCGGCAAGCGTCAAGAAGTACGTCAAGAGCTGTCGGGAATGTCAGCGTCGAAAGCAACCATCTGTTAAGCCAGCTGGTTTGCTTAAGCCCATTGAAGCACCCTGCACGCCGTTCGACCAAGTCGGCATGGACATTCTCGGGCCATTCCCCCTATCTGCGGACAGCAACAAATGGGTGATCGTCGCGACCGACTATCTGACACGCTACGCTGAGACGCAGGCGATCCCACGAGCCACGGCTTCTGAGGTAGCACAATTTTTCATGCGCCACATCGTGTTACGACACGGTGCTCCTTCCAGTATAATAACGGACAGAGGGACGGCATTCACGGCGCAGCTTATGGACGAGGTTTTGAAACTGAGCAACACCAGACACCGAAAGACAACTGCGTACCACCCGCAAACCAACGGACTTACTGAGCGACTGAATAAGACCATCGAAGACATGATCTCAATGTACATCGACGTACAGCACAAAACATGGGACCGGATCTTACCTTACGTGACCTTCGCGTATAATACCGCCGTGCAAGAGACCACGCTATTCACGCCATTTCGGCTTCTCTACGGCCGCGAAGTGCAGACCATGCTGGACTCTATGCTACCGTGTCAAGACGAAGACGAGTTGACAACTGACGCCGATGAATTCGCAGAGCGTGCTGAGGAAGCCCGGCAGCTCGCGCGACTACACATCGGCCAGCACAGCAGGCAGACGCACGGCGCTATAACATCCGCCACAGTGAAGTATTTTACAACCCCGGAGACCAAGTTTGGGTGTGGACGCCCGTCCGCCGCCGTGGCCTTAGTGAAAAGTTACTGAGCCGGTACTTTGGCCCTTATAAAGTGTTACGTCGCGTCAGTGACGTGAACTACGAAGTGGTTCCGGACTCAATATCGCAGACATGGAGTAGGACACGACCGAGGTCGGATGTCGTTCATGTGTTGCGCATGAAACCATTTATTGCGCGTTGTTCATAACTTTTTTCTTGCCGTACAGCGTTCTTTGTGTTATTTATTTATTTTTGTGAACTTGCTTCTTCGTTCACTGATTTTTCCTATATTGGCATGCTCGTTCATTTCTATTTTTACTTTTTCTGAATTTCCAATTTCTTTTTTTCCACGTGCCTATGGCGTAACATCGTGGTGGTGCTATGTACTTTTCTTTTCCCCTTTTGGGACTTTTTTTTTTCTTTTCGAAAGGGGGGATAATGCCACCCACACGTAGTGGGTCAACTGCAAGAGCGGCTCTACCATCTGGAGGAAAGAAAGAAGATTTGCGTGTCTCTTCTCGGCTCGAGAGCCAGCCACGACTGACGCATCGTCCTAGAGCTAGCTACCTGGTTGTTCAATATATCTCCCAGTACTTGTGACACATCGTGACAATATTGCGCTACAAACTTACTGTTACCCACCCCGCGGCCGGCGACCCCTCGCCAACAAGGAAGCAGGGCCACCGGAATGCGGGACGATGACTGTCTGCTGGCCACAAAGGACGCGACAACTCCAGTGCCGCTGTCGGGCTCAATTATGGCGCCTTACAGGAGACCAAGCCAGGCTGCAGGTGGCCGGTACACGTGGAAGGTACACGTGGAAGGTACACGTACGCGTCCGCCGGACAATCAGAATCAGCGGAGGCGACGGCATTGGCGCAGGGGCCAATTGTATTGATGGCCTGTAACCCGGCATCGCGGGAATTTACTCAGAGGCGCTTTCCCACGACCTGGCAACACCCGTCATCGACCATTCCGGGAACCGGTGTGAAAGAAACCCGAGCGACGGCGGAGAACCGATGAGTAGGCAAGAGGCGGTGGGTCTTCGAGGTTGTGGCGAGGAGACACATCTGTGCGTTTTGATTGGACTATAAGAGTGGTGCGTTTTGATTGGACTGTAAGAGTGGTTGAATGGGGTGGACAGGGGATAAAACCAGGGGTGCAGGGACAGTGAGGGGAGAAGAGAAACGAATAAACGTCTCTATGTCCAGATGATGTCGGAGCGGTCGTTTCCTCAAGGTGCCAGCAGATGAAAAGTTCTCGTCTTCGGCTTCCTTGGCGGCAGCAGCAAATGTCGCGCAACAAGCGAGAGGCGAGTGGAAAGAACCAAACGGAACGTAACTGTACACTTGCTGCAAAGTACACTTGCCGGCAAGTTCATTCCCCAACCTCACTTCGCTGCGACCAAGTGTGCAGCCTCGGTACCAGTGGCTTGCACAGAAATACCCTGTTGCCTAAAGTGGTGCTCATATTATTTTTAAAATATTGTTTAGTTATAAGGGATTTTGCTTTATACTAAAACAAGCCATACATCAACAAAAATTCTCGCTACTCTCACCCTCGGGCAGTTCGCGGCCACGTCTGCTACGGGGATGCGGCGCACATGCTGTGCAATGGCCGCGTCCGTCGCGTTATTTACTTCCAGGCACAATTGCACATGGGTGGGCGAGTCGTCTCTAGTCGTTAACGATGGCGTGTGCCATTGGTGCTACTTCCACGAAGACAACGTGGTCCGGCGATGAGACACGGCCGCAAAAAGTAACACGTATATATTGCGCTACAAACCCAACAACTGCCACTGTCATCGCTCCCAAAGTACACTTCGCTTTCTCGTGTAGCAGCGAACCGCCAAAACAATACATTGTGAGCATAAGTACACTCGCTCAACGTGCACTTAAGCTGCCACGTGTGACAGGGGTATAATTCGTCGGTCCGAGCCACGAAGCGACAGCGAAACGCCAGCGTTGGGTGTCAAGGCCTGACCACACATACACGTCTAAGCGCGTCAGCGCGCGGTGTGTAGAAGACTACGGGCCACCCTGTGAATGGAGAAGGCAAGCGGTTACACGAACCTGCGCACCCTCTCTCTCCACAGGAAATGAGTGCGAGGCCGAGTGGACAAGTCGTGCGCTGACGGCCTGCAGCGCGTACGTGTGGTCAAGCTTTCAGACACAGATTTACTATATGGAAGAAGGAAGCGGAGGCAAAACGACAGCGCCTGCAGTTAAACGCACCGCGTTCGGAGTAGCAAGCAGTGGGGAAAACAATAGAAAAGAGGCCATAGAACCGTAAATAATCGCAAGACAAACAAAATGATCACAAAAAATAAAAAGGAACTTTTTAAAAGCACCCTATCACATTGAAACAGCGTAACAGTGCAGAAAAGAGCAGATGAACACAAGATAAACAGGAGTGAAACACATGCTAATCAATGCTGCGCACTTCGTACAGCTTTTACTTGGGGCGAAACTGGCTTTGAATATTCTCTCCTCTCACTATCCACTTCCGGTGTAGGGTAGCAAACCAGGAGCAGCCTGGTCAACGTACCTGTCATTTCTTTGTATTTGACTGTCTCGCTCTCTACAATCTCGGCGTTACGAATGAATGAATGAATGAATGAATGGAAAGGCTCACTGAAGTAGAACGCGGTGGACATTTGCGTCAGGCCGATGATCAAGTCGCGGACGCCCCCAAAGGTGGCACCAATGTTCATGAAGGTGACGTCGTTGACGCCGACGACGCGCATGCAGCCAATGGCGAACACTCCCATCACGCCGACCAGCAGGCCGCCGACAGCCGAGACGATGGCGAAGTACGAATACGTCCATTTGTACGCCAGCCGAGCATAAGGGTACAGGATCTCATCGGGCCCTGCGTCGAACGCAATTGCTTTCGATTGTCGAGAATATTACTATAGGCAAATGTTCCCACTAAGCTGGAGGTTCAAAGTACATTCATGAAATACTGCTGCTTCTGCAACAACAACAACAACAACAACAACAACAACAACAACAACAACAACAACAACAACAACAACAACTACCACTACTACTACCACTACTACTACCACTACTACTACTACTACTACTACTACTATTATTATTATTACTACTACTACTACTACTACTACTACTACTACTACTACTACTACTACTAATTCTCCTCCTCCTCTTCCTACTCCTACTATTGTTACTATTACTGTACTTCTACTACTTCTCCTCCTCATCCTTTTCCTCCCCCTCTTACTACTACTTCTCCTCCTTCTCCACTTCCCACTTCTACAGTACTATTACTACTACTACTTCTCCTCCATCTCCTCCTCGTCCTCCTCTCCCTCCTCCTACTACTACTACACCCTATTTACTACTTCTACGTGTAATTCATTCTGATGTACGTTTATTCATCGTCTACATTAACCTCACATGAAGTTCACCTCGATTTGACTTCCATCTTTGACTCGATGGTGAACTACCGCATGATTGGGTAACTGCCCGAATTAAACCATTACACAAAAAGGGAAACAAAAACCAGGTCGGTAACTATAGACCAATTTCATTAACCTCAACATGTTGCAAAATATTAGAACATATAATACACAATCATATCGTAGAGTTTCTCAACAAACACAATTTCTTAACTAGACATCAGCATGGATTTAGAAAAGGTTTTTCAACCTGCACTCAACTAGTTGAAACCGTACATGACTTTGCGAAAAGTATTAACCACGGAAAACAATTAGATGCAATTTTTATGGATTTCGCCAAAGCCTTCGATAAGGTTTCCCACAAAAAATTACTTTTTAAATTAGAGAAAATACTTAAAAACAAAAAGTTAATGGGCTGGCTCTCTTTCTACCTAACTAAACGACAACAATTTGTTTCTTTTCGCGGTTGCAACTCAAAATGTGTAATGGTTGGTTCTGGCGTTCCCCAGGGCTCAGTTCTAGGGCCTCTACTGTTTCTTTTGTTCATTAATGATATTGTAGAAACAAATTCCTGTTAAAGTGAAACTTTACGCAGATGACTGTGTTTTGTACTCTGAGGTTCATAGCACATCCGACCAACTTCTGTTAAATCAGGCATTTCAAAAAGTAGCCTCCTAGTGCGAGGAATGGCAGATGGTCATTAACTTTGATAAAACTGTTTTTATGCGAATTACACACAAGAAAAAACCTTTGCATTTCAGATACAATGCTAACAACACCTTTTTGACTGAAGTCACTAATTATAAGTACTTGGGGCTTTTCATATCGAATGATCTCTGCTGGAACAAACACATTACACATGTAACGGCCAATGCAACTTACAAACTGTTTTTTCTATGTCGTGCTCTCAAACTATCCACTCCTTCTGTCCGCCTTTTAGCGTACAAATCAATTGTTTTACCAATATTAGATTACGCCGCTATTATATGGGATCCTTTTACTAAGACTAACATTAACAAATTAGAAAAAGTGCAAAAAAGAGCAGTTCGTTTTGTCTACAATAATTTTTCGAGGACTTCCGTTACTGACCTATTAAGCAGAGCTCAACTTTCACCTTTATCATTAAGATACCGTAACTTAAGGCTTAAGTTTCTGTACCAACTAATTAACGGCCAATATCAAGTAGACATAGCCGATATTTTTTTCTTTTTCTTCTGGCTACTCTACCAGGCAGAGACATGACCTCACCATAACCCCCCTTTCCCACACACAATAATTGCTTTAAGTATTCATTTTTTCCTCGCACCATAGTCGAGTGGAACAAACTAACTAATGCAATTGTTTCAGCACCCTCATTGGCATTGTTTTCCTCGAAATTAGAAAGTGCACTAACCAGTTGAATTGTTGAATCGTATTACATACCACTGTACATGCTTGTATAATTGTAGTCTTCTATTTTTTATTGTATGATATTGCCAGTTGAAGTTTGTATTTGCCCTATAGACATTGTATAACCTGTATATATTATATGACATTGTATTTGCCATTTGTTCATGACTAACTTCATGTACCACCCTGCTAAAATCACCAAAGGTGATTGCAGTATCTGTAAATAAATATATCTTGCTCTCATTAATTCAACAATATTCAAATTCAATGCACTGTTCTATCACGCTTTATTGACATGAACTCACATTAGTTCACGTCTCGTTTTCGTTAATTCACCTTGATTTCACATCCACGTTTAATTTTAAATAATTCTCGCCTTACGTGCGTGGGTATGCGCCACATGACGTTCGTGCTCACGCTGCAGGACCCCCTATTTTTTCGCTCACGAGCCACGCAAGGCTTAACATTAATCGTCGCTAATGCAACACAGTATTGACTTATACCACTGACCGTAATTGATGGTCGCAATGAGCGCCTGCAGCGCGAAGAGCAGCCTGAGCGTGCCCTGTATCCTGCGGTGGCCGCCAAGCATCTTGGCCGCCTCGCGGGCGTTCTCCTTGCTCACGAGCAGCCTCAGCTGGTTCGGCTTGCCCGTCGAGCTCGTCGAAGAGTCCCTGCCAAGGAGGCGACCATTATACGTCGGACAGAAGCGCAGCTGCGCTTTTCGTTTAGGTACCTGGTGGCAGCGCACCCGGATCCGGCACTGAAATTCGCTTTCTGAAGTCACAACGCCACATCGGTCTATCCAGAGCGCACTCGGATGCAGCCGGATGACCATGTCAGTTCATGTCGGTGATTTAGTCAATTGGTTAAATAGATAAAGTTGAATTCGTTCAAAATAATAGCGATTTCTTGTGCCTTTCTGTTTGCGTAAAATCGGTTTTTGGAGGATGCATATTCCTTTCCGTCCCGAATTTTAGTGGGGTCGGACAAAAATTTTTCATGTTCATTTCTAGCTAAGAACCTTTGGAAAAACACGCAAAATCACAATAATCTACGTTTGTTGTATCATTTTTCTTGTATATCATAGAGTGCCTCGAAGTTATGTTGTCCACGTTCGAAGTACACTTACAGACAGTGCTTCGTAATTTGCGCCTGAAAGGGTTAGATGTGTAGGGCATACCTGACGTGGGGGCTCGCCCACAGCGTCGCCAGCAGGAAGCACTGCGCCGCCAGCGCCGACCACAGCGACACGTGGTGATCGAGGACCGAATGCAGGAGCCAGCCCATCAGCCAGCCCACTGCGCGACCCAGGAGCGCCGCCACTTCGAGCAGGTAAAACCTGCGGGACACGGAATGCACCCGCAGTCGACGTATCACTTTCAGTTACAATCCACTGACCGTGCTTACATAGACGTGTGCAGGGCTCGCCTTTAAGGGAGAACAAAGACTCACCGTACCTCTCCTCCCCCTACCCTTGCTTATTTGTTGGTGGCGTTCGAAAGAAAACAAGAGCCGCAATGGCTGCAAATGAGCATATATTTTACAACGTCATATCCGTGACGGAAATGCGTCAGTGGAGCCGTGCTGTACTCGGATTAAAACACTTCAGTGTTAAAATGAGAACGAAGCAATGACGTGCTGCTGCTCACAATGGCCTGTCATTTGTTCGGATGTAAACACTCTACGTACACATTCCCTTGAATGCAAGATCAAGTTCCCTTGGTTGCCATTGTCGTTAAAAAACTTTCGTAGCTATAATCATGTGCGTAAAAAAACGACGTTATAGTTTCGACTGAGTAAAAGTGTGGCGCGGAATTGGCGCCTCCATTTATACGAACTTGGGGGGGGGGGGTCAAACTTTTGCCCTTTCCTCACGTGCGCTCACCTTTGCGCACTTATGTGGGGGCGCTGGCATATGGGTAAAATAAAGCGGTCTCTTAGCGTGAGTGCAATGGGAACTCACGTTCGAATATACATAAAAATAAAATAGCAAGAACAAACAGAATTACAAAATACGTGCACACAATGCATACACAACACCGGAGTGGCAAGATGGGAAATAATGACAGTGAAACTATATTCGTAAATGAAGAATGCATACATAATAATTGTGTAAGTAAGCAAAGGCTAACGAAGTGTCCATCTTCAATATTTTATTGCTAGTAATTAATTTATGCGGAAATGTTGCAGGCCCGTGTACTCAAATTTGGGTGCACGTTAAGGAACTCCAGGTGGTCAAAATTTCCGGAGCTCTCCACTACGGCGTCTCTCATAATCAAATAGTGGTTTTGCGACGTTAAACCCCACAAATCAATCAATCAATCAATTTACATGCCATAAAATAACTAAATGAACGCGAATGAGGGATACATTATATGCACTGCGTCGTCGAGCTGGCGGCGATACCTTCGTGAGACCACAGATTTCTCGCGATGGCACAGTTGATATTCTTTTACGTCAGCACATCGATTCTTAGGCTCTGCTTGCCAACTTTTTAATGCGAGGATAACATTAGGATAATGCCGCTTCCCGTGGTTTCATTTGACGAGGTCCCCTTCTGTAGTAACCACACAGAAATGGGCTATATTTTAACCCAAAAATAGTGTCCTCTTATTTACATTTGTATAAGTGTAGGTTGCGCAGGAATTATTTGAAATACAGCCCATGGACCATCTTTAGAATACACTTTATTGCAGTCAAAAGAAAGGGGAGAAAAATTGAACGAGCACTCTAGGACACGTACTATAGCCTTCGTGTAAAAAACAAACAAAAAAGTCCCTAGATTCACTACGCGCATGAACAATGCCAATTACGAAACGTCTTGTCGGTCTCCTGTTACGTTTGCACGGCTCGTTTGCTTGAAGAGTTACGGAGACAGATCGTTTAACTCGTTTTTCAAAAGCAGTCCTTGATCCACTTGTAACTGTAATGTACCACTCGAGACATATGCTTGACAACTGCATTGCTCCAAGCACCAGCCGTGGCAGTGATTTCCTGTGACGATGCTTGCCTACTTTTATGCGCTTTTGTCATGTGCCTCCTCAGCTGACTAAGAGACTGACCTCAGAGAGAGTCATAATAGTGCACTAGAGGGGAATCTGGCGCTGTAGTGTTTACAGGCACCGCAACGCATGTTGCTTCAGTCAGCATGGGATATATGGGTAGTACACAGATTTGTCAAACCTTCGTTGCATCGGCTTCATTGAGCTCCGTGTCACCTGAATCCACTCTGTCACGAGACAAAGTTTAGCAAACGATCAACAGCTCCACTTGACTAACCTGACCTCTTGAGCTTCACTAACCTAAATCGGGTCACGAAGTTCACAATGATGCGTTCTTTCAATTCTAAACAAACGGGAAAAAACACAACAACAAACAAAGCCACCAGAGCGTTTGAAGTCTCAAACACGAACATTAGGCAAGTCAGTGTACTGCCCATTAATGATTCTCATGCTGGCTAAGCGATAGGAGCGCTCATAGTATACTATAGCAGCGCCTGAGTTCGCTCTCGTAAATATTGTAGGGAACTCTACGACTGACCTGATGGTTCGAAAGAGCCTAGCTTGCGTGCGTTTCGTCACCACGTAGTAGCAGCAGGCGAGCATGAGCACGGGACCTCCCGTCAGGCCCTGCTCACATTGTTAAGACAAGATGGCGCCACGGTCTCTGTATGAAACACAAAACAGGAAATAGTGAAAAGATTTCAAAAGGTTAGGGGACCCTTAAAGCTTCGCCTTTAGGAGTTGAACGCGACAGCGATATCCTGTTCCCAGAGCGTACTTCAAACACTTGGTGACTGAAACCTTTCCGAACTTGCTATGCACCACTACGTGGCCTTTAGGTAATAGGTGCAGTAGCGTGTGTGTCTTTGGTAGCGGGTGACCGGCTTTAAACCACGAAGCCATTATGATAATCGCATGTTCTAACACCCGCTGACAATGGGTGCTTGTACCACCCATTACAACTGCAATATGTCATGTTGCAGTGTGAATCATGTATACAGGACGTGGGTGTTTGTGGAGCACGAAAGCTACTTTCACTGCATTTTCCAGCAGAGGAAGTTCTTTTCGCTGTTTTCACAAGCAGAGCATACTACACGGCGACGTAAACATAGACATTATGGACCTTACGTCCTAGCTTCACCCAAAATAAATCACCATCATTCACTTCGTGAAGATGCGTGGGTTGTTAAGAAACTCCTATGACTTGGTTATTCACCAAGCCTGACGAATACGACAGAAGCCACTTCTTATATTATGCACTCCATCCCTCAGTATAACGTGCACTTCATTTCGATAAAACTGTTTTATACTTTATATCGCGGAAGCCCGACCTCAAAAATGGGCTGTGTTCTGTGACTCCAAGGCATCCCTTCAGAGCTTGCAATCAGCTTTACGACAGAGGGATCAACAACAACTAGTGAATGAAATAAGAGAAGTGATTCACGAAGTTTTATCGAAAGGACATGACTTGGTGTTCCAGTGGTTACCGGGACATTGTGGTATTGTGGGTAATGACCTTGCTGATAATGCTGCCCGATCCGCCCACGCGGACGCCCAGACAACCTCGATTCCATTGTCGAGAACCGACGCTGCTAGGGGCCTTCACTCGTTCGCTAACACCATGTCGGAAACTTGGCTGAGTGACCCCAATGTCAGGAACCGCCGCCTGCACAAACTGGACCCATCGAGAAAGCTTCAAGTTCCATCGGACCTCTCCCGCCAGGATGCAACTTTACTGTGCCGCCTGTGGTTAGGAGTAGCTTTTACAAAGGCGTACTCCTTTCGCATAGGAATGGCGGATGTGAATCGTGCGACACTGACGAGACAATAGAACATCTACTGTGTTCATGGGAACGTTTTGCGAGCGAACGCAACTTGCTACGTGAAACGTTGGAGACACTATACAGTAGACCTTTTTCCGAAGAGAAGATACTTGGCTCATGGCTCTACGCGTCGCTGGCCAGCAAAGCGACGCGGGCACTGCTAAGTTTTCTAAAGACGACCGGACTACGCGACCGCTTATAAGCGTGCCATGGACAATGTCACATCTACACACACGTTGCCCTTCACTTCTCTCTCTCTTCTCCTTTAATCCCCTCACCCCTTCCCCTAGTGCAGGGTAGCAAACCGGAAGTGCGTCTGGTTGACCTCCCTGCCTTTCATTTATTCCCTTCCACCTCCTCCTCCCCCTCCCCCTCCCCCTCCTCCTCCTCACATATTTGCACTAACGTGAGTACCAACGTCAAGTCGTACCATTGGATACCTCTGGGCGTCACGGAAGTCAGCGTGACTGCAAGCTCACGATTAATGCCGCAGCCAGGGCGGCAGAGAGGGGGAATGTCCTGTGAGCCCCTTCCACCTCCACATTTTTGCTTCCTCAAATGCGCGCACTTCTCAAATGCTTAAGGCATCCAGTACGTGTTTCCTGTTTAAAGTGGGCACGCGGACACAGGCACGGACATTAGGAGAAGAAAACCACTTGGGAAGTGACCCCCCCCCCCCCCCCTTCCTCCGAAAAAATTCCCCGCTACCGGCCGGCGTACGACATATGCATAACTATACTCAAAATGCACGATGAAGTCGGTCCTACTCGCAGCGCTTGATTCAAAGCAATAAAAAGTATACTATATTGGCCACTACCTAATTACTAATTCACATGACATCAACTCCCAGAATGAGTGGGATCTACTTAGTAAATAGTGCCCCCCATCCCCCACCCCCTTTCCTCCAGAAAGTATTCTGCCCCCAACGCGGTCAACGTTCCACGTGGTTTCCCGATGCTCCCATGATAGTAGGCATTGGAAGCTTTGTGCACCTCACGTGGTTCTTCAGTGCCACTGAAATCGGTTCACTTTTGATCAAGCGATGACGTCATGTGATGACGTCATTGTGGGGTGTCAAATTATGCAACGTCACAGTGACGTCACGTAAATTATGGTGATGGGACGCCACGATGACGTCATATGACGAAGTCGTCACACGTTCCCCTCTTGTTGATGACTGATGGTCAATTTTGGCGCTTGACAAGGGTCTCTATAAGGCTTTCGCATTGATAAAGGGTGCTCACCATGGGCAGAACCGAGAACACGTGCGCCAGCATGTGGCCGCCGCCCAGTGCGAGAAAGACGCGCACGAGCGACGTGGTCGCGGCACCCGCGATGGCGAAGCCCACGAGCGTCCGGTGTCCGTACTTGTCGCACACGGGGCCAGCGAGGATGGCGACCACGGCGGAGGTGAGCGTGAGCAGGCCGTCCGACAGGAGTAGGTAGCGGTTCGACAGCACGTACACCTTGTACCTGCGAGTACGCCCGTCTATCTATCTATCTATCTATCTATCTATCTATCTATCTATCTATCTATCTATCTATCTATCTATCTATCTATCTATCTATCTATCTATCTATCTATCTATCTATATCTAAAATGAAGATGGGAGTCGACAGATGGAAACAACGTAGTGGATAAACAGGGTGAACTGTGGAAGTGCTTCAGACAGGCTGGCCGTCGTTTTGATAAGAGGACCTGTCTGTCTGTCTGTCTGTCTGTCTGTCTGTCTGTCTGTCTGTCTGTCTGTCTGTCTGTCTGTCTGTCTGTGTGTCTGTCTGTCTGTCTGTCTGTCTGTCTGTCTGTTCATGTCTTCCTCTCTTAAGTCGAAGCCTTGTTGTCAAGTTCCGTCATTGATCAACTCTTCGGCCCAGAGGGCAGCTATGGCCTCTCTGATCGGCCGAAAAGAACACCATAACAAAATTTGACAGTTTCTAACTAGTCGAACCCCCCCTTTCTTTCTCGCCTCGAGTCAACAAACGTGCGAGCCGTCGCTCACCGTTCGTCTTCGTGCTTGGCGAGGTTGTCGCAGACGTGCCTGGCGTACGACAGGCTTTGGCACGACTGCTGCTCGAAGATGTCAGCTATGGCCGCGGCCGGTATGGTGGCCGCCGCCGTGTAGACGAAGAGCAGGGCCTCCATCTTGCAGCCCCTGAGCCAGGCGACGAGCAGGGTCCAGAAGGAAGGGTCGTTCGCGGGCTGCTCGTCGTTCTCGGAAGAACCGGCGGCCAGTTGCCGCAGCAGCCAGCGGAGAGGTCGGGAGGCGGTCGCGAGGGCCAGTCGCAGGACGCGCCAGAGATTCGACATGCCACGGGAATGGACGAGGTGAGACCGGACCTCGGCATCCGAACGAGGCCTTCTCGATGTCCGTCGATTCAGAGCTTGACAGCCCGATGCTAAGCGAACGTGACCTCGCCTGTGTAAGCGTATCTCCTTCGTGAGCTCGTTCTTGTTGCCCTTCACGTGAGCTTCTCCTCGCGTGCCAGTGCGAGCGCGTGGATGTCAGTGATCGTTTGCCTGCTTGTTTCTTGATTTATGGCTCCTACCCAACACGGGGGATCGGCCATGAAACCGGCGGTTAATATATATATTTTTTAATTTTGGGAAGGAATGAGGAGGAAATCGATTGCCACAGAAATAAACAATATTTTATGAACGACCAAAATAGCATAATATGTAGCGCAGGCAAAGGACCTGGACAAGAGAAGGCACATCCAGGACAATACAGCGCTTCAATGTGCCTTCTCTTGTCCATGTCTCTTGTCAGCGCAACAATATATTATCATGCTGCCATACCAACAAGCCCAAATCGCCACCTCATCGACGAGGCTATAGAGGGTTGTACAATTCCATGGGGATGCCCACTACGAAGGCCTGCTTGCTTGCTTGCCTGCTTGCCTATTTTTTTAAAGACGATAGTCTTTCTTGAAGACCTTCCACACAAAAAATTTGGTCTGTCTGTCTGTACATTTGTCTGTTTGTCCGCCCTAACGATACCTGAAACGGCACCAAACGGCCAACCCCATCCGCAGCGCCCACCAATATTACTCAAGGTTTAGCGTTCATATACTTGTGCAATCATCAATTAAAAAAGCTAATATTGCGCATATCTCAAGCGCCATAACAACACGTCTATGTTTTGTATGTCTGCCTTTATACTAAAAGAAGCACACACAAGTAACTCTAACGACTGTAGTGTTTATCGTGCTGCACTGGCAGTGCAACGCGATGCTGAAGGAGGTGTTTCCAACGCTTCGCTACGACGACACGGTGGTGGCACCTGCCCATCGCTTTGCATTCTACACCTCATCACCTGCGAGACTGGCGCGCATCTTTCTCCGCGGTCACGCGCGCCTTCGTTTTCGAAGATAACTACCAGATGGCGCTTGTGTCTAACGTGCCTTAGTGTCATTGAAACTCTAACGGGCCTAGAGGCACTTGTTCGCCTCCGCTACACGCTCGAGGTACTCTAACGTAGCGCCTTCAGAATACCATTCACCGATTTTCTTGCGCAGAACATCAAATAAACGTATTGTTCACTCTCTCCAAACGCAAGACTATAGTCTTTCGACGACATTTACAGTGTAACATGTAGATTTGGGCCAATTTTTTTGGCACCTACCAACTACGGTTGATTGGCCATGATACCGGCAGTTAATTGAAGGGGAGAGCTTTTTGAATTGAGACGAAGTAGGAATGAATAAACTAACAAGCAATTATTGTGTTACTGAAAAAGAAATCGCATATGGCTAAGCATATTGTCACGTAGCCGCGACGATGAAGGAACGTGCACGACAGGATCGGGAGAAAGCCGCAACAATCTTTTATTTCACTGGGCTGACCTGCGCCCGAAAGAAACAAGTGAACCGCCGTACAGCTGGCGAACTACTACACCGATGCCCACGGCTGCCCTCGGCTTATTCGCGAGAGGCGTTTTCCGATAAAACACGGCATGAAGATCACGCCTTCATGATGGAGCGCATATACACACTAGCCACGTGTGTCACAAGTAAAGCGATAAGGATGGCAAGTGATTGCGGCAATATAGACGTTTCTGGTGCTGTCAGACAGAGAAGAAGCCTGAAGTGAAACAACATTTAGAGAATTCAGATAAATGCTTAAGTTTCTGAGTAAAATTTTAAAATGCGTTTTTTATGTATCGTCAAGAGGCGGCAAGTATGTAAAAAATCATCAGTGTTTTCAGGCTTTTGACAGGAAATGCAGAGAAGAGATAGCACCACAGCAGACCTGTGCAAAAATAATAGCTTCATTAGTGTGTTGAACAACGTGGCTTTCGTGGCTGAGTCATTTCGCATGGCTCGTTGTGCACGCGAGGGGCTGTTGGTTCGATCCCGGGGATTGAACTTTCTCTTCTAGTTTTTTATCTATTAGTCTAAATTTTTTACAAGGTCATACCCGTGACAAAAATACGTCAGGGAGGTCTTAGTGAACACCGATATTAAACACTTCTGCGTTGTGAACACCAGCAGAAAACACTTTCGACTTGTAGGCATTTGGTGCGTAACAAAATACAATATAACGCCTCTACTTTCCATCATTCGCATGGTGGTTGAACGATCGTAGCGCCATATTCTTCTCTTGTGTTCTATGGTTGAATACGAACTGTACCACCAAAGACCCAATTTGATGTTATGCTATCCTTTTACTGTACACTCGCCTGGTGCTTTCGTGTTCTCAAACATGGTGATTCCTTTAATGACAGAGATTGGAGTGTTATACGCAGGTGGCAATTACAGACCATCGGAAGTCACTATCCACGGCTGAAAAAGTGACAAAAGAACTGAAATCCTGCTTCATAAACTTCACGTTCAGCCAATAAGAATCCGAGTACTTTCAATGCGGAGGGCCCACACTTTTTGGATTCGGACAATTGTCAGTGCATGCTGTGATGACAAGTGTGTAGACGAAAAATAAGCATGAGCAAGAGGTCACGTTAAATTATATTCAAGAGAAAGGTTATAATGTCTCATCTGAATTGGTGAAGTTATCAAAATTCATTATTTAAAAAATCACAGCATATTCACGGAATGATGATGAATGGGGCGAAGCTTCGGAGGGTTTCATTGGTAAACCGGGAATGGTCCGTCCGTCCGTCCGTCCGTCCGTCCGTCCGTCCATCCGTCCGTCCGTCCATCTGTCTGTCTGTCTGTCTGTCTGTCTGTCTGTCTGTCTGTCTGTCTGTCTGTCTGTCTGTCTGTCTGTCTGTCTGTCTGCACCTGCTGAGTGAGTCGTCGAACCAGGCAGTCACGTACCACGAGCTAGGATGGACAGACATATGGCTTTATGAGCATCGCCCCCCCAAAAATCACAGCGTATCCACGGAGTGAATGATGATGAGTGGGCGAAGCTCCGGTGGTACTTCAGCAAACCGTGAATCGCACCCACAGTCGTTCCAGAGTTTCGAGGATTGTACTGCCGCGGTAGAAAGCACGAAGAACGCGTGCGGTTTGCCCAGCTGGCGAATCATGGAAAAGAGTTCCTCGCGACGTTCTTGCCAGTATTGCACCATGTTAGGTACGCCCCGCATGAAGGTCAGGTCTCGGTTGAGCACTACGTCCACGAACTCGCGCTTGCGCCGCTTTCGAGTTGCTGCAGCCTGAACGAGCTGGTCATGCGAGCGAGCACCGCAGCATCATCTATAGTGAGCACTTCGAGTACTAGAGGTCACTACGACGAACGACGGCGGACAAGTCCGCACCCTAAGGAGCTTCGCCCTTAAAGGTCCAACAAATTCATACAATCAACTCTTGGCCCATCCTCCTGAGTTGGTTGACGATGATTATGATGATGATGATGATGATGATAATATGCTTGATTTAACGTCCCAAAACGGCTATATTATTATGACAGACGCCATAGTGGAGGGTTTCAGAAATTTCGACCACATGGGGCTCCTTAACGTGCACCCAAATCTGAGCAAACAGGCCTACGGCAAATGCAGCCCGGCCGCCGCAGCCGGGATTAAATCCCCCGACCTGCGGGTCACCAGCCACCAGCCGAGTACCTTAGCCACCAGACCACCACGGCGGGGCGCCCCCTGAGTTGATATGAGCCATGTTAGAGGCATCATCATCATCGTTATCACGCATCCGCAGCGGCTCGTGGTGCGAGCAGAAGAGGCAGAAGAAGCGGACGAGTGGGCCTAGCGCGCTCGTTTCCCGGCACGGCTCTAGAGCTCCCGATCCAGGACAGCAATGTGAGTCCCTCGGCACAACCGGAAAGTTTTCTTGAGCCTTCTTATATCTTAACCTCCCTCCGCCCGCTACTTAACAGAGGCAACTCCTTTATGCTTAGTATACCAGGCAAAGCACGAAAGGGCGCTCTTCCTAATCACCTAAAAGGGGCCGACAAGACTGATGTCTACTCAGTCAGGCCTATATTCTTTCATTGTTCATGTGTAGGGATTGGGCCATGCAGGGTTTTCTGACGATAATGGCGGACAGGACGTTCCATTTTGAATAGCGCTCTGCTTCCCGCATTTAGCCCCGTAAGGGCCGTTCTACGCGCTACCCGCACAGCCGCAACGCACGTGCCGGGACCCCTGCCGCACGCAAACGGAGGGACAAATAAGCCAAATGGCGACGCTCTTCCACCCTCCGAAGCGTCGCAAATAGGCTTATTTGTCCCCCGCTTGCGTGCAGTAGGGGTCCCGGCACGTGCGTTGCGGCTGTGCGGGAAGCACGTGGAAGTCTACGGCCGTTCTACGCGCTACCCGCACAGCCGCAACGCACGTGCCGGGACCCCTGCCGCACGCAAGCGGAGGACAAATAAGCCAATTGGCGAGGTTCTTTCGCCCTCCGCAGCGTCGCCAATTGGCTGTGCGGGTTGCCGTGGAACGGCCACGCGCTTTCTGCACTGCCGCAGCGCACGTGCCGGAACCCCTGCCGCACGCAAGCGGGGGACAAATAAGCCGATTGGCGACGCTGTTTCACTCTTCGCTTGGGTGCGCCAAGTGTGCCGGCACGTGCGTTGTGGCTGTGCTGGTAGCGCGTGTACAGGCCCCATAGCGGACAACCGTGCGCACGCCTGTGGTGCACGCGTCGCAAATGTTCCAGCAGTCGAGTCGCGATTGGAGGCTGGTGGTCGGTCTCGATCGAGAAGCGACTAAGCCGAAACGGCTTTTCGACCGAAACTGACAAATGCGCGAATATTTGAAACACGTCACATCCAACATTTGGTGTGCCAGAACGACCACTTTGTTCGCGTTTTCCCTCTGAAAGCCTACGAGGCGCATCAGTTTACCGCCGAGCTTGATTTATTTGGTCTGCGTGTACCTCGCGACCGAG